ATTTATTCTTTTTGTGAAAAGTACGATACTGTTTCGTTAGATTTTTATTGTTGTGTGTTAAGATTGCTAATATTATTCATGTCATCCTCAGTATAACCGTCTGACAAATAAATGTAATCCACTTTTATGATAATTATCTTTTGTTTGTATTTACTCCTCTAATCTGTGAAGGTTTTTTTAAATAACACAATTTTTAAATCCCCGTGGCAAATTTCTCCCGATACTGTAAGCTTTCTCGTTTAGACAGATATTTTGTGGCTTCTTGTATGCACTAAATGTTTTTGAAATATCCTAATTTGTTTTTTTTTCTTTCTTATTCATTAGCTTTTTTTGGCTGACATTCAGCAACTACAGCAACTGGGCTTATATTTATTTGTCTGACTATGCAAGCTTTTTGAAACTGTGTGAACATGATGCATACAGCAAATATTTGAAGTCTGATTGTTTGTAGAATGTTTTGCGACAATTGTGTTTATTAAGACCAGTGTCTTAATGAAATGCTACTAGTTCTATTGCGGAATGTATAATCATATTCAAAGTTTACGCAACAGAATAATTTAGGCATCACGATTAGTTCCTACTCTTCGGTTCATAATAGTTTATTACTTATTATGTAGTTGTAATCCATTCCTACTGCATCGATCATCCTCTGCATAGATAGAGCAGTCGAGAAGAATAAGAATCGACTACAGTAGCTTCAATAGATGGACAACTTTACACATAAGAAGATAATCAGCAAGAATGTAGAAACTTGGTGCAAAAGATTTACGACAAGTTACTGACTTTTATCAACAGGTGACTTCGCTGGCTCCACGCTGAAGATCAAATGGCTAGAAAGAATAAGCAACAAGAAACTCTGGTTGTGAACAAACCAACCAAGAGCTGATCACTCAACAAATATGTAGGAGAAAATTGAGATTCATTGGGCATATGATGAGGAGGCCGTCGAATGACATAACGCGCCAGTCCCTCAGAAAGAACCCCAATGGGAGGCGACGAGTGAGTCGTCTGAGGGTGACATGAAGGAGATCGTGTGAGGTGGGGATGAGAGATTATGAGCAGTCGTGGACTCAGATGGAGAGAACAGCAGAGAATAGAAGAAAGTGGAGATGCTTTTTGATTGGACACTAGTCAGTAACTAGTATAATGTATCTAGTCTGTCTCTGTCTGGATTCAACATAGAACTTGGCACCGAAGTGCACCAGTTCGAGTTGCCACGTTCCAAATAGCACACAGAGGTAGACAAGAAGATGAGTGAAGAGAATCAATAGAGTTTGACAAGTATAAGAGTGAAACAGAATGGGTAATGGTAGAAAGGAATATGAAAGATTACAGAGACTGAATACATCTGCGCCATTGACAACGATTTTGAGCCATGTCACCTATTGTCTCCAGCCATTGATTCCTAGAGTCCCGAGGGCCCCAACCCGGGAGTCTGCATCTCCCTACCTGACTCAGTTTAACTGTCAAGGATTTCATGGATTGATGCCATGTTTTTGTTTGGCCACCACTGGCTCTTTTCCAACCTGCACCTATATCAGCTAGTAATGCCCGTCGGGGGAGGCGGTGGTTAGGCATGCGCAGCACGTGACCTAGCCATCTTAGTCTATGTAACTTTATAGCCTCGTCGATTGATTTTCCCTCTTTGCCCAACACTCTACGCCTAACGTCAACATTACTTACCTTATTAAACCACCTAACGTGAGACAGAGATCGCAGACATCTATGATCGAAAGCAGTCAACCTTTTCATGTCTTCAACGCGTATTGGCCATGTTTCAGAGCCATAGAGAAGGACGGAGCGAACTGATGAGCAGTACACACGTCCCTTGGTTGATAACCGGATGTCACGCCTACGCCAGAGATGGTGTAAGTCAGCGAAAGCAGCTCGAGCTTTTCGGATCCGTGCTGAGATTTCATCGCCAATCAGTCCGTTGGTGCTAATACAACTTCCCAAATAGGTGAAGTGGTCAACATGTTCTATCACTTCACTCCCTATCACTAAGTTAGGGGTTGACGTGGTCCAGTCCTGTAGCAGCATCTTACATTTTGCAGGGGCGAATCGCATGCCAAACATACGAAGATTGCTGCTCAAGGTGTTCAGAAGACTCTGCATTTTGTCAGCATCCTCCCCTAACAGGACTATGTCATCTGCATATTCTAAGTCCATAAGACTATTCCCTGGTAACAAGTCGATTCCTAAGTCATTACGTTCAGTTAAGGATACTTCCATTAGCATATCTATGATGAAGTTAAACAGAAATGGGGAAAGTGGACATCCCTGTCGGACACCACTGGTTGTTACCAATTCAGATGACAATTCCCCATAAGCCCTTACACGACTACGTGAGTTTGAATAGAGTGCCTTGATTAGTGCAATGTACTTTCTTGGCACTCCCTTCACAGTCAGACATTGCCATAGTACCTTTCGATCCACGGAGTCGAAGGCCGCCTTCAAGTCAAGAAATATGACAATTGTTGGACGCCGAAAAGTGTGTCTATGTTCTAGAATCTGTCGAAGAGTGAAGATATGATCTATGCACCCTCTACCTGGTCTAAAGCCTGCTTGATTTTCCCTTGTCTGTTCCTCCCGAGTTCTGCTTAGTCTATGCATGATTACTGAGCCTAGGATTTTAGAGACTATGTTCGTTAGGCTGATCCCCCTATGATTATCACACGAGGACTTGTTTCCCTTCTTGAATATCGGTATAATAAGTGACTTACCCCAGTCTGATGGCACTGTCTCTGATTCCCAGACTTTGCCTAGTACCTCAGTTAATCTACAAACTAGTATGTCACCCCCATATTTAAACACCTCCGGAATAATTCCGTCGGGTCCTGCCGCTTTGCCTCGTTTCAAATTACTGATAGCTTTTGTGACCTCACTTACAGACGGCGGACCAGTGTCTATATCCCATTCGGGTACGTGGTGGATGGCGGGGAGGTTCAGTGTGGCTGTAGGCAAGTTAAATTGTTCCTCAAAGTGTTCTTTCCAGCGTTCAAGGCGTCTATCCTGAGAGCTAATTAAGGAGCCATTTTTCTCAGAAATAGTCTCACTTATGATTTGCCTTCTCCCACCCGTTTCCCTGATGAGTCTAAAGAGTTGCCTAGTGTTGCCTATCGCCGATGCTTTTTCCATCTCTTTTGCCTTTGTCACCCACCACTGTTCACGGTCCTTGCGGAGACTTTTAGTAAGTTTCCTTTTGTGCAGCTTTCGCTCCTCATTGAATTCGGAGCTCGCCGGAATAAGTCTTCTAGCATCTATCAGTTCGGATGAGGCAGTCGAAATCCAGTGGTTTTTACTCACCTTTGGATTTACCTTATTCACAGCTTTTACAGCTGTATCTATGGCTGACTGAATATTCTTCCAGGCTTCTTCAGGGTGAGCACAGCTGTCGAACACAGATATGTGTTTAGCTAGTTCTTCCTCAATGTCTTTTCTGCCCTAGTACTCAAAGCTATCCCTATGCCAGCTAATCCTCGTGAACTGGCTGTGGCATCTCCTGACACCGTCAAGGTGAATTTTGAAGATTCATCCTGTTGGCCAGGTGTGGTTAGGTGAATAACCACACTTGGGTCTTGTATGCGTGTTTCTGAAACACAGCATACATCAATGGCTCGTGATGCCAGGGTCTTGGCTAGTGATGCTTGTTGTCCTATTTGGCACAGTGTCCTAACATTAAAAGCTCCTATGTGAAATTGGTGGCGTGGCTTTAGGAGACTATCGGTGGTGGATTTTTGGCTCCCCTCGTTTTTAGTGGACACAGAGTGAAGAGGGAGTGAGGAGTCATAAAGTAGAGGAGTTGCATCAGTGGGAGGAAGGCAAGGTAATAGAGATGAAGATGAAGACAAAGATAAGTGAGGATTAGAGAGGTTTTGTGTGCACTTCGGATTGTGAGGGCGTTTGTTACTTCCCGGCTGCCCACACCGTGGAAGTTGGTTGCGTGACCGCAGAGCCCAGGGGACAACTGCTTGAGGCCGGTCACACGCGGCCTGTTTTTGTTTGTTCTCTTTTGTTTGGTGTGCCTCAGTAGCATACTTATCACTCCTGCCCTGTGACACGGCAGCAGGAAGCGCGGTCGTTGTTAATCCGGGCCACGGCCGATCCGGCATGAAATTTTGTGAATTTGTTTGAATCATGGTATTGGATTGGGTAGCTGCTTTTTGTTTAACCGCTATCCAAACAACCTTCCTGGCATGGTAGAACCTCAAGAGACATAAGTCTCAGCCAGTATAGCTTGATTAGGTCATTGCGGTGTTCAAGCCCGACCACCACGTCAAGGTAGCAGCTTTCGGTACCATCTTCGGTGCAGACTGAATTCTATCAGTCAAGCTTGCAATGTTGCCACCATGCTAGGTGGCTCGCCATCGCGGTGTACTGTGAATTGTTGGTATTAGATGGTTGGAGGCAATAAAAATATATCCAATACAGTCCTACATGAGGTCAGTCGCGAGCCTGAATAGCTCAGTGGTAACGTCTCTGATTGCAGCACTGGGTGACGTGAGTTCGAACCTCAGAAGGGTCATGAGTTCTTTCGAGGTTGCAGATACGCCTTGCTGATGAGTGCCAACCAGCACGAAACCTAGGTCCAAGGCTTCCTGCCGATTGTCACCAACCATCTAAAGTGGAGATGTGTTGTTGAAGCCCTGTTCACTTAGAACCCAAGGTAATAATAATAGTAATAATAACGTAGAATAGCTAATGAGTACAGAACAAAAAGCACATGGAATAAATGAGTAAGCGCAGATGTAAGTAACATATTCTAGTATCTTAAACTATTAGTGTAGCTACAATATATAGTTGTTCGAAATTAGAGGCAACGGTAAATAATACTCTATATTCTCACGATCATACTCACCTGAGAGATATTCTTTTCTTGTAGGCTGGATATTAAAAGCAGAAATTTTATGTACATAAATATTCTTATAAATATCTACTGTCTATCATACGTTTTTATTTATATATTGTTTTGCTTTTCCTTTTTTTAATAACACCTTCAGAAAATTTCGTGGAATCTCATTACCGTGAAAAAGGGGAGGCATACGATTCTATTGATTTCCCAGCGGATCGTAAATATGGTCAAGGTCCAAACATAGCAGATGTTACATCAAGTTTCATGATTCTCTTGGGTATATACTTTCCTTCTGTTACTGGTAAGTTGTTTAGATAATGGAATATTGGAACAAAAAAATATCTGTGACATTTTGAGATTTCTTTAAATTGATTGTGTTGTAAATTGCCTTATCTAACTGACAAATAAATGATATAATCTTGAGTTGCCTAACTTGACTATTAAAATTAAACAACTAATACACAGTGTTATAACACTTACGAATATATTTTTCTGTATCAAAATAAGCGCTTTTTATACTATCTCAAGCTAGGTGATACTATCTCTAAGTCTCCACTGCTGTTATTATAAAGTAAGTTTACATGCAAAGAAAATTATTTAACTTCTTTATTGTTGGGTTTGTAAATATTTGATGAGTGGAATAGTCTCGACTTAGCTTTCTCTGAAGTTCTTATCTTAAGACAGTCCAGTGGGACTCATGAACTCGAAATAGGTGGCATTTTCACATCACAGGTATTGATCTTAGGCCATTGACTTTCCATACACTGACATATCCTGGTTGACAAATTGTTCATTGAAGAATATGTGCAAATAATAAATGTAATGAGGATGTTTATATTCTTCAAGTAACTGTGAGAGAGATTTTGACTGGAAGATCAAGTAAAATAGATCGCAGTCATTGTAGCTATTTGCTCTAAAATTATAGAGCTGAACACTTTAGTTTTATGCCTGTTTAAATGTGGTCAGCATGTCGTGGTTTCGATTTCCTGCAAAATTTTACACTTTTATCACTACCTAATAACAACTATGAGAAATATTCATGTAAGTGTTATTTCACTCAATTGCCTAGTTACCATAATATCATTAATAATGATTATTATTACTATTATTACTACTAATATTACTACTATTAGTGCCAGGGAGAAATTAAAGTATTAGCTGTATAGGTTAAACAAGCCTACCTAAACAGAATGTGGGGTAGCATAGTTTTATGTCTCCACTACATTTTAATGTCTGTTTATCTCAGTGCACAGAATCATTATGTATATATATATATATATATATATATATATATATATATATATATACCCTTGTTTCCGTATTTCTTACTTAACACATGCATACCAGTGAAGTCGTTACCATTGGTCCTTTATTTTGTCCATTTATGAGGTATATTTCTGTTGTTTTATTTTTATTTTGCTTGTATTATTCTCTACATTTTACGATGGATGCTGTTGGTGTCAATAAATGTAAAAGTTCATCTAAATGAAATATTTTCACCCACTATGATTTACTATCACTATTACAACGATTCTTAAATTGAATGTGAACTTGGGATAATTATTTTTAAAAATATCTATTTATAGTGATATACATATTACGCTATTGTTGCCATTTATCAAAATATTACTACTCTCTAATAATATTTTGTGCTCAGAGTCATAACATTCTAAATCATTTATTTTTTGTAATTCACGATACAGACAATGTGTTTAAAAGTAGATTAGCAGTTGGTTTGCATACTCACTAATCTAAAAATGAAGCTAGCCAGAATTTGTAGTAGTCCAAATAATTTAGCTTGTTTGAGTGAATGAATTAAGGTGCATTACTGCTAAGTTCAACGAAACTGTATTTCTGTGTTTGGATTATTCCAATTTGGTTTTTGGACAACACGGGTTAATTTTACTAACTGACTACTTCAACACTAACTTCTGAAAGAAAATAGAGATTTATTTCAATTTTTATCACAGACTGGTAGTAGTTGGAAGCCAGAAAGTACTGGATAGCGGTTTCGTTCTAGTTTGGAACTCCTCATCAGAACGTAACTGCCGGTGTTCGAATCCAGCTATAAGTCAAGCTTTCAGAGCCGACTCAATGAATTCTAACTTCTACCAATTCAAATTCCACCAAATGGAATTCCCACAAACTACCTTCTGAAAAAAATAGAGATTGTTAGGAAATTAAATAAACTGGGACGTGTTAGTATAGTCGACATGGAAAACAACGGCCGCGTTAACCGCATACGTAAATTACGAAATCAAAGTTGTCAGCTCTTCAATGACATAAGGTAACTAGAGTAGATAAAATGACTAACATTTCATTTTCTTGTTAGGTTTCTTGACGGTATGCATTCAGAGTAGTGAAATACAATTGCAAAAAAATCTTTTAATTACGCTCTTTGTCAGTTACACTTTAAAAGTAATTCTAGTATAGATCTCATCATGAATCGGTATCAATTAGTTATTGACTGAAAACCATGGAGCTCCAGTGCGAACCAATAATCACACTCGGAAACGATTAATGTTGGCTGTTGAGGGAATCTACATGGGAAATAAACAGAAGTCATCATAACCCCACACCCTAAAAGAATTTAAAATGAAAGTATCAGGTGATTTGCATGTCACTGGTATTCTCCATTAACCGGAATTGTGAAAATTACTAGATACGAAACCCGTTAATTTTGTGTTGTATCCGTTGGAATTCATCTACCTAACTTTGTAACCTCATATTCGCTCCTAAATTTCAAGCTATATTATTTACGACTAATCTGCTGTGCTACTGATTGATGCTCACTTGCTGGTTTTCGGTTGATAATTAATACGTCCAGTAACATAATCCTTTTGTGCACTACAGTGTTCTGAAGTTTTACTGCAATGTACTAGGTTTATGTATGCGTTCTTGTTTTTGATAACTATCAGCACTTGGAATTACGTAACCGAATTACGTAACATCGATGTTCGTTTGACAACGATTGAAACAAACGTTAATAATGATAACAGTTGGGTTTGTTCGGTGGTCATGTTACGCTAATAATCGACGGATTTAGCATTATTTAGCTTATCAGGTTTTAAAACCAAGAGTGAAAATGAGTCGTGTTCTGTGAGACTATTTCTCTGTCAATTTCTTTATCATACTTTATCTAAATGTTTAATCTACAGACCCCCGGAATTCTTTCACTAGTTTTCAGTCATTCCGTTTCAGCTTTTAGTGAAATGTTACAGTCTAAATACGACTGCTTTCAAACAAAATGTTGTCTCTGCCAGACATTCATTGAGCAAAGAACAACATATATGGAAATAAAACTTGTTTTTTCCATTAGTTTCACTATCCTTTTTGATATGTTTAGCCCTTTAAATAGCTGTAATTTTTTAATAAATAGATTAAACGCCTTGTGTAGAGTAAGAGTGCCCCTATTCTGTAATATATAGTCATCGACAGATGTACTTATTGAAATTGTAGATAAATTCATAAGGTAACAAGGTTGACCATCGGTTCCTATCTATTCAACCTAATTATGTTTGATGTTCATTCTCAGATTTAAAAATGTGTTGCCCTTATTGCTGTGAAACACTGGCATAAAACCTTTGAAAAAGTGGAGATATCAGTCTATGTTTTTTGAAATTGTTAACTCGCATCTTCACTGTTTGCTGTTGTTGTTATTGTTTTCAACTCCTGTTACATTAATTATCTTTGTCCGATTATTAGATATGCATATTTTGTTTATTGCACTTGATCTTGCAATTTCCTTATGTCAAAATTATTTCTCAGTTTGAAATTTCTGATTCGGCAAACATGACATATATATGTATATACGCTCAGGTGGGCTGAAGATACCGTTAATGATGAGTATTTATGAAATTGAAAACATCTTTAAATTATTTTGTTAGTATTTATTCATTTCTGGACAAATAAAAACTGAGTTCTCATGCTGTTGGGCAAAAAACCTGTCCATTGAATTAAGTTTATTTACAAAAAATACAACCGAAAATAATAGTCTTTTTTGAATACTTTTTTGGGTGGGAGATGGGAGGATACTGATTCAAAGAGCTTTGTTAGCAAATGGTCTTTTACGAAACATCCAAAATCATTGGCATGGAATGATTAGGAAAAGCATCTTCAAAATTGATTTTTGATAGCTTATGCAGTTTATGTAGTGAGTGGTGAGTACGGCTGGATTAAAATTGTAGATCATGGATATGTTTCAAATCGAAGTTTCACCGAATCGAATTCGGGATTCTCAAATGGCACTGTTCAGTGTGAAAGTTCACCACAGATTCTTTTGAAAATCGAAATTGACAGAATTATAATATGTGATCTGTTTGATACCGTTACAACTGCAGTCAAGATGGGAGGCATAAATACATGGTGGTATGTACTACTTGACTGTGTATGTGTGTAGTATCGAACTTCTCATAACAAGCAGTCAGTAGTATATAACACGGTTTCTCCGACTAACTAGTTCGACTCTAGACCGAATAACTTGTGAGAACTGGCTGTTATTAATGCCATCACTTTCTAGAAACCGCCTACCATAGTATGAAACTATAACAGATTTATTCATAAGGTCTCATGGCTTACTTGATTGGTGGTTCAGTTGGCTGTTAATATCTGTAGGTCACCGGTTTTAAATCTTGTCACAAGCCTTCGTGTCCACTCTTATCACTATGCATTGTGCGCATATCCTTAGACTTTTTCAGATGCTCTCATTAATCGAAGTTTCTAATAATCTGGTATAATTACTGAACTGTGATTCAACAAACTTCTTAATTTATCCCTTACATCAATACTTCATCGAATGTTACAAAAACTTTTGTATACAAACAGATGCCTATAAAAAAAGTAATAGTCATTTCAAAATGCTAGTTGAGAGCATATATTTAAATGATGTGTATGAGTAAATGACTACATCGCCTCAAACAAGGTATCTTGCTGATAGGTGGCTTACATTCAACATGCTTATACAATGCTTTAACTGACTATAATAAAGATAAATGCTCGAAACTGTCCACATACACTGTCATTCGTGAGGTTTACTCGTGTGTACTGTTGCTTTTCATCTGAAATTCTCAGAATATTTCTGTAGACTTCTATTTATTTTTATTCCTATGATTATATTCATAATGCTTTTGAAAAGAAAATGGTTTTGCATATTGATTTCATATTTGTATCGTTTACCTTGCCTTCTAGGTATTATGGCTGGTTCCAATCGATCAGGTGATTTAACCAATCCTCAGAAGTCTATTCCTTTGGGAACTATTTTGGCTATCGCAGTGACGTCATTTGTATGTATCCTTTTTTGTCAGCTGAACCGTATAGTGACAATTTAAACTTTTGTTCTTTCATCTATTTTATTTATCTTAAATTTCACAATAGTTGAAGATGCATACACACTGTTTCACTGTCTAACATGAAAGTTATGTCTTTTTCTTAGTGAAATAGTATTATTATTAGTAGTAGTAGTATTCACTGATTACCAGGATAATTGCCACTCGAATTACAAACCCACTATATCTTGTTTCAGCTCTAGGCATGGAGTATCAGCACAATAACATCGCTTCATAGGTCTACGTACAATTGTTTTGTTGCATATTTTGAAGACTGATGAATTACAGCAATGTACCACTATGAATTATGCTGTACATTCCCGACACATGTTTGTCTGTCTAACTAACCATCTATCTTTACCTTAGTCTAATTTTGTCTTCAACAGCAAAATATCCTACAATTTGTATCCTTAATATAATCGACTATTGTCAAAGCAAACCAGCCTATAGGTGCACAATAGAAACCCACATATGAACACAAATATAGTGCTTTTATTAGAAGTTATTTTGTTAGCAGTTTTCTGAACCTAGTGAATCATTTTCGGGTTTGTTGTGATTTAGACTTTAGCTTTACATATATTTGAATTGGGAATTTTGTTTGGACGTAATTTTTGTGCACTTTATTACCAATATGCATTAATAGCATAGTATTTGCATAGTCTTTTTCCATCAAGAATGTGAAACGTTGAATTACTAAAAAGGGATAGAGAAAGATGTAATAAATAAATGCAGACAAATATGTACATATAGTTAGCTACATGAACACTGATGTATTAAACTTAATTCGGTGTAAAATAAGATTTTGTTTCCTGTTTATTCTTTTCCTTTGCTGAATGGCAGAATCTTGGTGATTTTGAGAGACAAATGCTACGGATGTCAGTTATCAAACTATACTACTATACTACTGAGTTGTTTTGTTCTGTCCTTGTTGCTTTGATGATAAGCCGTGACACAAGAGTCAATCGACTCCACTGTAGGATTTATTCACCGATAGAGTATGTCGATAACTGCACCTATTAGTGAATAGGCAGACAAAGACTAGATAGTATACACCATTAGACACTATGTTGTCTAATAATAATAATAATAATGTGTTTTTCTTGTAGCCTGATGATCCTAAACTTTCATCCACGTGCGGTTATAATTGAGCGTACCAACATTAATCGACTTGGTAATTTTTCAAAATAGATTGGTTCTGAAACAGTTTAAGGTAAATAATAGTCAGCATGAAAAATACTTATGTGTTGGTGAGCATTTACACCTAAGGTTGTGTATGCTCTACCTATGAAGTGTGTATAAAAGTGAACGTAACAGTTCAGTGCCACAAGTTCTGCCAGTTAGAGAATAATAGCTACTGTCTAAATTTAATGCAACGAGTGGGCTCTGTTCACTCGTTTTCAGCGCATTTCTCATTATTTCCTAGTTGAGTTCAATCTTTCTGTGTATATGAAACGCAAGTTTGACTGAATGCATCCTAATTTATAAGGCAGTTTTTATTACCAGCCGAAGTCACTGGAAAACTGTTTCATCGTAGTTTGTGACTCTATCTGATGTCGGTTTGTCAAGAAATCTACTTTAAAACCAGTCGAACCCAATGGATTAACTGAAATAGTTTTTTTTTGTAAGTGAAGTAATTCTTTTTTAGTCTGCAGTGTGCGTTAGGACAGTGTCTTTCAAATAACTTCTTTTGTTGTGTTTGGGTTCCATGAAAGTAAAGAGTCTTAAAACGTCAGTAAGCCAAATATGATTCAGTCATTGCTTAGTTTGTTTTCCTTTCATGTTTAATATAATTGTTTCTGTGCTAAAAATATATTCCTTGACTTCGTTTACTAATCAAATCCTACAATTGTAACCATCCTCTTTAAAATTGTGTACTGCGCAATTGATTTATAAAAAAAACACGAATCAAACACATAACACAATTAATTAAAACAAAACAAAACAATCAGACTTGTCATCTCCGCTTGTATTCGCTGCAATTTGTGACGGCGCTGTAATGCGCGATAAGTAAGTCATTCATTTCTCTGTTTTTTTTTTAAAATTTCATTTAAAGCACTATCGCTCTTATGTTCTCTCTTTCTCTCTGCCTTTATGATATTGATATGCTTCAATTATCTTCCCAGTGTAAACATGCTAGTATGAAGTAGCTTTATAGTTTTTAGCACTTGTGAAAGATACAATAATTAATTGTCATTGTATAACTATTGTATGCTTTAGAAATTAAGCGTGTCCACTGAAAAGCATGTCCTAATCCTTCAGTATTCATGTAATTAGTAGAATTCTAGTAAGCGAAAACATGAAATCTAAAATCCTGTGCTATTTTAAACAATTCATTATTTGTTAGTCTTCGTAGTTGGTTGATTTTAAAGCGACATAGGAAAACAACACAGCCAAGACATCTGGAAATCAAGCAGAGACAGACGGCAGTGAAAATGAGTTCGTACTCATTACACCACATTGAATTGAACTAAATTATGTCTTTGAATTGACTGATTTATTGAATAATCTTCTAAAAACAGAGATTCCTAGACTCATTTGAATTTGTTGAGGTCCTAATCAAATGTCTTGATCACCGTTTTCTTAAGGTATTTTGTCTGGCGAACAAGTAGTCGAATTTCGCCAACCCTGTGGTCTTTCTAGATATCTGAGGCTGCCGTCTTCTCGGGGATTTTTGTAATAACTTAGTTGTATGCTGTTTATACTTTGATATATTATGCTTTTACTGATTCGATTGGTTGATGATCATCAAAACAATAGATTACTTTGTTGCGAGTTATAAAAACATCATATGTATTGTAGTCGTTGAGTATTTTTTATTATTATTGAAAACGAAGACTGGTGAGAAAAAATAACTAGAAATATATCGATATATTTATTTTTTTCAATATTTTAGTTCTGGGAATAGTTGAACACCTGTCATTTGTTTTTCTCACTGTATCAAAGTGAGTTGTAGCTGTTACGTGTATGATTTAGAGCGGAAGATATTTATTGTCTGACTGACTAAATAAATTTCATTGGGTATTTTCATAATTTTGTTTAGACATCAAGGCTGTTCGGTTACATCATCGTCTAGGTAGTAAAAACAGTATTGCCCTAGCTCTAATTTTATTTCCTTGAAAATTTTGACTTGTCCCTTAGTTGAACATTTAGGTTCAGTATTACTAGTTTTTGTAGAAGTTCTATATATTGTTTCCTTCTATGCATGCTAGTAATATTACAGTCCCTATGGGACATAAAAGATTTTGAGTGAAACAGAAATTCCCTTTGCGACAATTTCGTTTTAAAAGCTGTACTATCGCATTTATGCTCAGATTACAATAAATAATAAGTACATACAAAAGAAGAGACATTCCACGACAATTAACCATTTTCAGAGATATCATTCTCAAGCTGTACACATGATACATTTTTATAGCAACGAAATAAATATTTCTGAAGGTGTGTCATTAAAATTACGCGTTTTAGATAACAGTCAGGCGATTCTAAATTATTTATTACAGAAACACTAGTCAGGTAAAGACTAGCAAATTGAAAAGACTAGGTAGAGTTAAACTAAAACTGATTGAAAGTCAAGTCAAGATATGTGTCATAAGAAGTAGAAATATGTATGTTTTGGGTAAAGAGAAAAGAGAGTAGGACTTAAGAAATTAGGCGTCAAACGCTTAGAGGAATTAATCCCAATATAAGTTCAGTGTCTGAACAAACTTCTTCTGCATGCAAAATTTAGTATTTTACATATGGATTGCCATAGACTCTCTGGTTTGAAGAAGTTTGATTCGTAATCCTTTGGTGTTATCTCCGCATACTTTGTATATGACTCTGAAGTTGGTTTGCGAGTTTTCTCGGTGTACCGGGTCGATCAACCGTTCGAGCGTAATGCTGCGTGTGGATCTTTTTTCTCCTCTGTAAAGCCATAATAGTGAATGTCCAATGATACTTTTGAATAACAAACTGTGTGTTAGTCAACATAACTGGCTCTACAGGAGTAGGTGAAATGAAAGATGCACATTTAAAGGGGCAACAGTGATGGCTTATCCTTCATATCCATTCGAATAATAAGGTTAGTAGAGAGGATGAATTGAATTTCCAGTACGAAAAAGCTTTCCTTCAATGCACTAGACAAAAAGTTTCTTATTATTTTTACAAATCAATCTCCATTCATATAGAGAAGCTTTTAAGGGAGAGATATTGTGTGTGGTTTAGAGGGTCTAAGTTTCAAAGATTTTTCGATGAGACGTTCAGAGTGGCCATTTTTAATGTAAACCCTTTGTAGAGCGTGCCAGGACAAGAAGTACTTCTTTGGCGAATGTAAAAATTTGGCAGTCTCTGTAAATATCTGAGAATGTGGTGTATTTGTTAATTGTTTTACTTTACCTATCTGTTAGATTTGGAGAAAGTTACGGTGGAGTGTTATTAGTTGCTGCATTTGCCTGGCCACATTTCTGGGTTATACTAATTGGATCATGCCTTTCAACAGTTGGAGCTGGCCTACAATCTTTAACTGGTAAGCATGGTTACCTTTTTCACCTACGCAGGATATTTTTTTAACTGGCATTTTCCATTTATGTCTTCAGGATTTAAAGTATGACATGTTTATGTCAAGATTGCATTATACGTCCATGTTTATTAATCTCTTTCTAACATCGTTTACGCAGATCGACACGCCTATTTTGATTTCTAATTTCTGTGTAGTGCAAACATATGAAAATCTTTTGATAATTTCCCAGCATTGGTGTATGCTTGAGGAAGTTTCATCAACAGGTGTGTTGATGTCTTCATGATGATGAAACATACAGAATCTAACATCAAAGTTCGAAGAACAATCTCCATCATTTTCATCTCTATTGTTTTAAGGACTTTCAAATGCTATGCATATTTACATATAATTATGTATATACGTTTCATTTCGATGTAGGTGACCTGTATTTAGTTGTCGTTTTTCCCGTTTTTCCTACTGTAACACCTCTTCTTCTCCACTGGCTTTATTTTTGATAGGTATAACAGTTTCAACACATTTCAGTTTATTTCACAGTATAATCCTAACTGCATAATTACTTCCTTTTATGTATACCTTCTTAATTTGATAGAATTTAAGTCTTCGAGTTTTGTAGATAGTTTCTTTCGCATTCACTTTTTGATCATTATCCTTCTATTTCTTTCTAAACTTTATGGTACTTGGTAAATTGCTTATCGAATTTGTATAATTCGTCATTCAGCAGACTGCCTAACTAAATATCACTTCCTTAATATACGGTATTTTGTACTCAGAAGCTGGGTCACTGTGATGTGCGGGAATAGTTAGTATCATATATGTCTGTTTTGCTTTTTTTGTATTTTTCCGCCATTATACAGAATTTATCAGCTGGTCTAGATCCATGTATGACTAGTTGAAACTGTTTATCTCTGTTTTTTAGAAATTGTCCTGAAAAGTTTCTTCGTAGTTTCACTCGTCATCTTATCGTAGTAGCTATTTTTTAAAAAGCTTTTTTACCCAATGTTTCAGTTGTTTAGGGCTCCATTAGTAGGTGGTTCCATACAGTATCCATCTATTCAGTGTTGAGTAGGCGCTCCACTACAATCTTTTCCCAGTTTGTCTTTCGATATCTCTCCTTACAGACTTACTTCTTTTTCGATGAGGATTTTAGCAGTTTATGAGAAACTTGGAAGATAATTAGATGGATAAGTTTATTTGGTTGGGATGGGGAGATGTTCAAGCTAGTTTAGCAACTGATATATTCCTTGTACATTAGTTAAATTCAGTTTCACTTTTGATTGTTTGTTATGTACTATATTTAATTAATTGCCTTCTTTCAAGTATTTGTTTTTCTTTATTTATTTCTAACACATTTTTAAATTTCTTAGCAGTTCTACACTTCCTTAAGTAGCATGTCAAAACCTTTCAACTGAAATCGATGAAAGGAGTATAGTTAACTAATTATTATTCAGGTTTATTAGGTTTTTCTAAGATTTGTGAGGAGTTTCTACTATAACTTGTTTTGATAACTTCTGTTTATAGTTATTATCAGATAATAATAAAAGGAACAACTGTGATAGTGATTATTCCTGCTCACCAAATACGTTTTCGGTGTCGGATGTTTACCGTGACTCATTATTTAATTGTAGGTATAAGTTTAGCTGACCAATAAGATGTATGTTTGCAGCTATATGAATTCTTTCCATACATTACTGAAGTAAAATATTTTGTTGCTGTATCGTTAAGACTATCACTGACTTGTTTTACATGATTATCCATTGGAATTCCTTTTAAAATTCTATTTATTGTGGTTTCTAATCAATGCAGAAGGATCATTTTCGCTACATAGAACACTTGGCTAAGTGACAAAAAAATGAATCTAACATCAGAACATAGAAATGGTTGGGTGGTTTATTTTTATTTATGCGTCAACTTTGATAATATGGGAGATTTTGACCATAGTGATCACAGAACTACTGAGTGACTAGCATGCTGATATACTATCAATTTCAGACTTGAAGCATGCCAAAAATACACCCTGATCTGTATATGTACCAGACCATGACAACGCGATGATCCTTCTGATGTCAGACGAGTTAGCTGATGACTGTCGAAGGTGTTATATGATTTAGGATTATTATCAGAACGCAAAATCTTTACAAATAAAATCACGCATCATTTTCAAAATCACTGTGCACGTCCGCGGCAAACTAAGTGACCTGTGTGCATCTCTGAGATGTTCAAATCCCGAATTCCAACTTTGTTTATTCTAAGTACAAAGATCTTTCTTAAACAATACTGACTATATAAGATGAGATTTACAGCTGTTTGGATTGTAAAATAAAAATGTTGTTTGAAGACTAGTTTTTATCATTTGAACGTTCCATCAAGTTTCCTTAAGTAACTAATTTCAGGAATTCCATCAGATCTCGATTTTATTTACAACGTCTTGCTTGATGTGCCACTATTGTCTTGTTAAAAAGTTTATGAAATTATAAAAGGGGAAAATTTGAAAAATTTAACTTTTTAGGTGTATAGTACTTCTAAAATCTAAATTATCTGAGTCTTGTCTTCAGTGAGCACTGATTATGTCAGATTTTGACAACAGAACTGAATTAGTCTACTTAATGTATGGCATTTTACATGAAGTCTTTCCGCTTACACTCAAATTTCTTTTGATGTGTTAAAACAAAGATATTAGCAGTCTATTGTGGTTCCATCATTATCTTTGACAATAGACCATTGTCTTTCAGAGGTGGCTTAATTCAGCTGCTTGATTTGCCAAATGAAGTGTGTAAAGGTGTTTGTCTTTCAGTTTTCGCATGTTCTACAGGACTGAATAGGGATAAATGTGTTTGGATTAATTGCATCGAGAATTTCCGTCTACATAAATTGGCCAGAAAATGGTAGCCAGTATCTTCAGAATAGAGCAACCACTTGCTCGGTGCTTAGATCAGTATCAGACGTCAGTTTACCTGACTTACTCACACGAACCAGATTCCTTGTCTGATAAACTCCTTTATGTCTTGATTACCATGAACTGTGGGGCTGAAGAAGCTGATAAATGTCGATCGATGAATCAGTTCAAATTCAACTACAGATAAACTACAAGTCGACGTTTTCATCTTATTTTTCATGCAATAATAAACAGAATTGCTTTTGTATAATATACACATAGATATTTACAATGTGTAATGAAAATGTCTTTTTGAAGTCTGGCTATTTTAGCCTAGAAACTATCTTATTTCTTTGTTTTTATGTTTCGGTAAAGCACTACTTGTCTCGCTAGTCGAAATGACATATTCTACCTCTTTTTTCAAAGGAAATCTTTATGAAATGAGACTTTTGCACTTCGAAAATTTATCTATACAAATTTTGTCTGTTCCACTTATCTTCTACCTTATCTCACATTATTACTTTTGTATATATTTATGAAAATGATTTATGACGTCATATATTTTTCCATGATTGCGATAAGAATTTGAAGCTAACTATTACGAATTTCGATTCACTGGATATGAAGTTTTTTTCTCCTACTCTTCTGCTTTACGATATAAGCCCATATTCGAGCAGCTAATTTTTAGAATAAACTCTTTTCTTATGATGTGACTATCGTGAATAGGATTGCTAACTTCATTCCCACTACTTTAGGGGTCTATTTAATAAAATTAAAATAGAATTTTAGCGAATCAATGTCCAAGAATATTTAATTCCCTTGCCAGAAAAACTAAAAAAAAACTTGCATGACAGGTAAAAAAAAAAACAATACGGGCAAAATGAGCTGCTTATTTGCATTCGCCAAACTGTTTATGATTAACTTGTTGGTCTCAGACTCCTACTATACTTCATTGTCAGCGGTGTGGTATTCGTCCTAAGCACGAGTATTGCCTACTTGATTGATGCACAGCTGTTAAAGCTATTCGTTTTGGAGCTTCTTGTTTTGCCTAAAGATTGCGTGGGTTATAATTAAGAAACTTATTTGACGTTTTTAGTTGTGTCGGATATTGGGCAAACTGTGTTTCTTTCACAAAAACTAAGATTTTGTCTCAGTTTTACCTATATACAAATAGATATTTTTGCTTTTATTACAGTATTTTACCACGGATTGTTCCAAGATAATTCAGTTGGGTAAAACACTAAAGAAAGGTCTAAAGTAATGCAAAGTGTGGGCATACACTTAAATTACAGCACTTCTTTTTTTCGCGGTGTTCTAGTCAACAAACAAAATGCGTAGACCTAGAGGATTAGTTATCACTTTCCGAAGAAGCGTTAGTAGTGACCTGAATAGTATAGTGCTACAGTAGGTAACTGCTGCACAAATTGAATCAAGTGTAAAGAGTTCGGATACTACTCGTTAACAAGTGTTGAACACTACATTACACTTCTACGGTTCCATGCAAATTAACATGAATACGCTTAACTTTCATGTGCTGTTCGGTTTCGGCGGTGACAGGGATTTTCACCCAACCTGCCCCCTCCCTTATTCTGGGCTTAGAACTGGCAAGTAAACTAGACTAATTAACATCTAAAGTCAGGTAATGCCAGTAGCAAATGTCTTAAACTTCGGAGTTTTGTTTCACACTGTTTCACAATACTTAGTTGTTTAATACGTTTGAACAACCTATGGATAGTATTCTTCACCCAGTTGCTGGTAACGCTTAATTGCCTGATGTGTAAAATGTAGGTAATTGCTTAATTAGAAATTCAGTGAAAAGCCTTATCTCTCTGTTTATCCTATGCTGATTATGATTATGTATGTATGATTTCCAAATTTTGTGAGAACCAATGGAATTATTTTCTTGCATTATTAAAGATAACTTTGAAATATCATCTGCTAACGTTTTGTGGCTTTTCTGATTCATTGTATGTAGAATATTTGACCTTAAAATTTAATTAGATTCTCGATGTAATCCCGATAAGTTCTTTGACCCAATTTTTTCTGAATATTGCAAGTTTTTGCTTACATTGACTGACGTTTCTTTTTCTTTTGGAGTGTGAAACACTTCAACCACTGACTAATAATAAGGCTT